AAAATTGCTCAGCTCGCGGAACTATCAAACTGCAGGTTTCTCGCAATTTCCGTACAGATTTTCAGTCATAACACCGCATTTTTCCGTGACCTCCCTTCAAAACAATGTCCCGTCGGGGGTTCATGATAATGCGGCTCAATATGTTTCTTCAAGAAGAAAAAAAAACGCCAGCAAGGGAAAAATACAGATTTGCCGTCGCGCCTTCCTTTTTATAACTTTTGGGAGAGTGCCCGTTTTTTGGGTGCCGTATTTTTTTTGCAGACGGTGTCGTTGTTTTTTATAATGACCTGTGCTAACAACCAATCATCTTCCGCACATTGTATCATGCGTGCCACACCATCGCTTTTGCAAATGTACCAGCGGCCATGTTGTCTTGACCATAACCAAAAAAACAGCCTGTAGTATGACCGCGATCGCATGACGTTTCTCTGACGTCATTAACGCCGAGGCACTTTGAAATAGGCTCCAAATAAGCCTTTTCGCACTTCTGCGGGCGTGTAACTCAGGAACCATATCACTTTGGGTCTTAAAAAGGGCATGACCGTGAACTGCATCAAAAGGTCTTCAAGATGGCTATTTCAGTTCAAAACGACACGCAAATGTGGGACATTCCCTTCAATGATGCAGACTAGAGGCCTTGTTTGCAAGATGTGCAGAGTGATAGTACTGTGCTTCTGTGCGCTTTCAGTGCCTTCTCATCGTCTTTCCCTCCCAAAAAATCTTACATACAAAAGGGTGCAAATGGGCCAAAGTTATTCGACCGTTATGATGGAAGCTATGCAGCACTGAACACGTTACAATATTATGGCGTTCCTAGTCGCCATCTGTGACGTCATCAGTTATGTGACTGGTATGAAATGAGCATTCTTATGGTAATATTGACCACGGGCACTGACCACCGCGCCATGATTTGTCCCAGGGAAGAACGCCTTTGAGTTTCCAGGTGTCGCGGTGAAAAATATATCAGGTGCCTCCGGCTTAATGGCGTTACGCAGCTGCACCCTGCACTCCGATCCGGATCCATTCAGTCAATGACGTTCTGCCCGAACTTTTGTTGTCTCAAATGTCATGATGACATTTGAGAACGCGTCTCGAGAGATGCTCAGTTGTTGCTGCGGACGAAAAAGTCTGGCTCTTCCAGTCTGAACTCCTGTTGGTTATATTACACAATATGCAAGATAAGTTGTGAAGTGCACTCGATAGCACCTGGTCATTTGCATACAAAACATGTGCTTGCCAGCATGGTTACATGCCTCAGTTTCAGTCAGGCGGTTTTTGTCCCGCGCGTCTACGGCCCCAGGCTGCCCAAAGCTCAGTCACACACATGAATATCCGCTGTGCGGAGGGAGAAATTTATAGCAAACGTGCGCGTGTTTTTATACCGATGATATTTGCCACTTCAGAGCGCTTCATATTTTAAGCTCTGGTGACAATATATCCCATTATGAATTGGGTGTCTTGTCTGTGCTTTTTTCTCTCCCACTCACTCGATTTACTCGACAACGGTTATAATGTCAAGCGAACAACTTATTTGCGACACTGACTACGGCTATCAATTGCGCCCAGAAATATTCACGGATCACTTATGAACCCAAAGGTAGCACGGCCAAAGAAATACCCCCGGTGCAGCCGTGGGTCAATGATGTTACGTTGCTCGTAATGTCGTTGCAACGTGCTTTCCGATTCGTATTCAAGCATTCAGTCGCGTTCGATACTGGAAACTTTGTCATGGCGACATCTCCCGAACAGTCTTGAGAGGCCTCAATACCAGTCATCGGTTACCAACCCTGACATTTCTACCTTAAACTCTGACATATCACAAGGCATGCGCGATAATTGGCCAATCCATGTGCTACGCTCGGTAGCGCATAGCCATCGGCACACAGCCGATGCGATTGCACGCTCCAGTCTCCGTCAAACTGTGCTGGTTCCGTGTGACCGCCACCCACGGCTGCCGAATGACCCGCCACACGCTCCAATGTCCCCCGCGAGGAGGACCTCCTGCAGAAACACGCTGCTGAACAGCTCTTGTCGGCGGCTGAGCGGCGAACGGGTGCGGCTTGTTGCACCGACAACATCCGGGTCTGCGGCGGGTTACTTTTTGAGCTGTTGTGGCCAACAGCACTGGGAAACACGCCAATGTTTGGGATGGGTAGAGACCACCGTGAGTTGGGCTTTACGCTTGGTTTGTTTTGACGTCTCTAGACGCCGGTGTGCGGGTAAGGCGCCAATGATTTTAAACTGGGAGAGCAAGACTTTGCAAGGGGCCTTCTGGACAGAATGGGGTTTTCTTACAGGCGGCCTCTCCGGCAGTGCTGCATGAAAAGGGACACGGCATCGGAACCAAGTGACCCATCATCAACTAGTTACACGTATCAGTATCCATGTACGTCAGTGTCTACTTTTCAAAATCCGGAATATGGGAGTTCTGATTAATGCTGGGGTTTTCTTGATCCAGCTAAAGGCTTCTCTATAAAAAAACAGGGTTTGCGGGGCCAGAAATGGACCTCCTGATACACAGCGCGACCTTTTGATCCAAAACGGGATCTTTCCAGCCTGCAAAGGCGTCTCCAAATCCGGCACAGGCCTCGCTTTTCCAAGGAAGGTCGTTTTGGCCCAGAAATGTGGCTATCTTATACACAGGCCCGTGGCCAAGCGGGCGCACCGGGTGTCCGTGTCACATCCCCTGGGATGGGGGGTGGCTCACCCTCGGCCTCGTTCCACGCAGCCATGTGCTTGCAGTGTAGGAGTTTCACGACGGTTGGATGGAACCCTTTTTAGGCCAGATCTGCGACAACCGTAACGGGAAAACACTTGGCTCGTGCCACGTTTGCTACCGATCTCAAATCCCGCATCATGTGCCGCAGCTGCGTTTTAAGGGATCACGCAAGTTTTTGTGCTGACTGGGGTTTCCTTTCCGCCTTAAAATGTTTCCATATTTCCTTGACAACCAGACGACAGCGGTCCGGTTAGATCCAAAATGGCGGTAAGCGGATGTGGCGCGCTTCCCGCGCGCCTTAGAGTACGGTCGACATTCACGTGCGATTTACAATGGCTGCAGGTGACCGATTCTGCTGTATAGGGACAGTCACGGGACGGAATCAGCTTCAGCTTCAGCTTCCTTAGCCGCACTTTTCCCCCATGACTTCGAATTAAGCTCATACTTGTCATTTTTCCCAACTGGCTCCGGCTTGTGCCATTTTTAACAATCTGATTTCGACTTCTGCTTTGAGCAATTCTTGAACCATGGGACTGACTTAACTAGCCCTACAGGAGTACGCAGTTTAGTGTTTAAGCTTCGGAATGATTGGTTGCGTCGCAAATGACCATCCCATTCTCTTGTGGATGCCAGAAGTAGCATGTTGCAGTGTTGCATATAACAATCGCAATACAAAATGTATCATATCATGTCATGTCATATCAAAATGCCACTGCGATACTACAAGTTGGAAAATAAGGAAGGCATCAATCATGGGTATGGATTTCAAAGATGTAACAAGAGAAAATATGGAATTTTCCAGAGATATTAGTTAGTTGGCTAGACTTGACTTGCACATTACCATAGTAAATTCGTATGCATATAATGATTGATTGACTGACAAGCAGCTCATCAAACTATCATCAGCTTATCATCCACTGGCGATACATTTATAAGCAGTATCACGTCTGGCTCTTTTGATAATAACTAATGGCTGAAACTTCTTTTCAATCTCATAAAACTGTTCATGATTACTCCAGCCAGTTCATTTATGGACAAACTTAGGCAAAATTTGCAGGTAAAACGCACGAGCAGGACCTGTGGAATCTTTAGTGCAAATTGCAATGCAAATTTTCCCAAGCCACTCGAATAAAGGCTTTTCGTATTGATGTAAAAACGCATTTCATATTGATATACATCGATATACCACAGTCCCTTAATTGTAACATTTTGAAGCTCAACGTCTTCAGCGTGACTTTGTTCTCGAACAAATGAATGAATGGGACAATTTTAAATGTTGGCACCTATCTAAATGCGCCTCTGGACGTAGAGGGGAGCAATGTCCCCGATGGAGTCGAGCATTTCCTTTATCTAACTGGCGCGTCTGGTTATGCATACGCTATTACATACTCTTCTACAAATGTTAATTAATCCCGTGCACAGCATGCGCATTGACAAAACAGCTTCCTCCACTAATGTCTCCACCAACTTCGCGGCGCCACTCCATTTCAACCGACGCGCGCTCGTCGTGTTGTTGGAGCGGCGGAATGGTGGGCGTTTTGTCGGTTTTGTTGGACGGCACGCTTATTTACCAACCGAGTCCTTGCGTTCATTTGCCCTTCTGGGGTCTGGTGATTTCCACGTTCTGATGTGTACACAACGAGATATGCGCACGTTTGTGGCGTGTGCCGCTGCCACCGGCGAGGGAACCGGTTTTCAGGTATGCAGCGGGCCAGGAAACAGGTCAGATACGCACATGACATCATCCCGACCTTGCTCTCCGAGCTGGTCCCGTCGACCTTGGGCGTACGCACCTGTGAGTATATAACATACGCCGCAGTCTCCTCCACAAGCACTTCCTCTCCGACCGAAACACAGCTCTCACCATGCGCTCTCTGGTAAGAACGCGGCACTCGGTGTTCCACGAATGCCCAGGTTGTTGCGGTGTTTGAGCATGTACCCTTGCCCGCCGTTCGTTAACCGGCTGTGATGCCGTGCAACTGCTGGAGCACGGTACCATTTGCCTGCCTACCATTGTTACTCTCCATTGTTACTCTCCATTGTGTCTCCATGGCCGCCATTGTTACTCTCATGTGGCCAGTCGGCTACTGACGCCAGTAAGCGCTGGCTCAGACAGAACACCGCGTGAAATTGTTTGATGGCCACCCGCAACGGAGCAAAATCCAAGCTAGTCTATCATTTCTAACGTAAGCGTTTGTGCGCGCTGTTGTACTATTTAGTGAAACCTGCCTGTCCACGAATACGGTCGGCACTGCGTCAGACGATTGTCGGGAACGCTGGCCTACCTGCTGGCCGCTGAGTCCCTGGTCACTTGCAGGTCCTTGTCTCGGTGGCGCTGACAGCGGCGCTGGCTATGCCCAACCCCGGCCACCACCATGGTCTGCGGTGCCTTCCGGAAGCGGCTCCGGAGCATGCTGCCAACACCGACGCTAAGGCCTCTGCTGAGGCTGTCGCCCCTGCCGTTGCTGAGACCGTAACTGGAGTGGCGGTTGAGACTGTTCCTGAGGTCACATCGGCGCAGAAGATTGAAGGTGCTCTCCTTGAGTCTGGCCCAGAAGCTGGAATGGCAGAAGTTGATGCTGCGCAGACTGCTGAGGCAGTTCAAGCTGGGCAGACCGCTGAAGCTGCTGCGGTGGGCGAGGCTGGGAAGGCCGTTGATGGTGGTGCTCCTGCTCAGGCTGAAGAGGCCGCTGAAGCTGGTGAAGCTGCCGAGACCGCTGAGCCTGAAGTTGCTGCTGAGGCTGGAGAGGCCGGTGAAGCTGCCCAGACTGAAGAGGCTGCTGAGGCCGGCGAGGCTGCTGAGGCTGCCCAGACTGGTGAGGCTGGAGAGGCCGGTGAGGCTGCTGAAGCTGGAGAGGCCGCTGAGGCTGGAGAGGCCGCTGAGGCTGGGGAGGCCGCTGAGGCTGGGGAGGCCGCTGAGGCTGGTGAGGCCGCTGAGGCTGGAGAGGCCGCTGAGGCTGGGGAGGCCGCTGAGGCTGGTGAGGCCGCTGAGGCTGGAGAGGCTGGAGAGGCTGGAGAGGCTGGAGAGGCTGCCGAGGCTGGAGAGGCTGCCGAGGCTGAAGAGGCTGCTGAGGCTGGAGAGGCCGGTGAAGCTGGAGAGGCTGCCGAGGCTGGAGAGGGTGCTGAGGCTGGAGAGGCTGGAGATGCTGCTGAGGCTGAAGAGGCTGGCGAAGGCAGTGCTGGCGCGAGCCGGTGAAATCTCTGCAAGCCGTGGTGTAACACGTTCATCACAGCACATAATTTTGAAGTTATGCTGCAGTTAGCAATTCTGTCATTGTTGTGATCATACACTGATGGAACACCAGCATCTAGCAGCTTCGCCTTGCAGTCATTGTTGGTTTCGCGGAGAGGAAATGCCTTGCATATTGGTGCCTGTTAACTGTGTGGAGTAGGTCCCACCATGTGGGGAAAGTTCTCCAGAAAGAGTTCAGGTGGCTTTTTTTGTACATAGTGTGATTTTTGTTTGGTTTGTATTTGTATAACTACACCTTAACTGCTGTGTGCTCTTTTGTGTCCCTTGTCAAACCTGTGCCAATAAATGATCAAAATGAAACATTGTATTGTGAAAAAGTCAAACAGTTGCACACAAATGCCAGACATTTTCGTGCTCTCAGAAAATTTTGTACCTACCTTTCAAGAATCGAGTACTTCTCAACCAGCCCACTATAAGTAGAGCTCCCCGTGAGGCACCACCTTTCCGTGGTGGGGGGATTGTGTGCCCCAATGATCCCGCGGGCGGTTGGGGAGGCTTGTAAGGCGCTCCTTCCGGCCAAAGGGAAGGGGCCGGACGAGATGTGTCTCCCGCAAGGGCTCTGATTCGTTCAGAGTAGGGATTAGGTACCCCTCGGTCCCAGCTTTTCAGTCTTGTCTGGGTCTCTGCGGACCCCGTTGGATCCGCAGGTAGCGATCCTGGTCACTGAGGGAGTTGCCCTGCGGACCGGTCGGGGCAGCTTACCAACACGTGACTTTGGCCCGAATTTGTGATCCTGAGGATGCCTCGTGAAGTCTCCACACGAGGAGATCGACTGGTCAGGCGATGTGTTTTTGCGACACTGGCTTGGAGGCAAGCAGGCCATGTGATGGGTGTTGAGGGGGAGCTGTCGGGTGCAGTGTCTGCCTCCTGACACCATTAAGGAGCCGTACCTCGGCTTGTTACCAGGGTGCCTGGTTAGCCACCGCGAACCGAGGCAATGGCGCCCGCAGACTCGTGCCCGGTGGCTCTCGCAGCAACTCTTTTGGCACACTGGTCTGCGAATAACGTGCTGGTAGCCCAGGCGGCTCCTCTCTTAGAAGTGGATCGTCCCCGTGTTGTACTCCATGATGGGCGGGGAACCAGCACGTCAAATATAAATACATACTCATGAACACTTCATCATCAACCAACCCCCCAAGCCCCGACCGTCGTCCTGTGTCACTATCCCAGTTTCTGGTCATAAGATCCGCCAAAGTAGATGACCAAAGAAAAACGGTACTGCTCCGACTGAAACCCATTTCGGTGCCAACAAGCATTTTCCAGGATCGGGGAACCCAGGCATGTCTTTTCGTATACGGATGGGGGCATATAAGCGCATTTAACAAACGAACGCGAGATCCAGCGCATGCTGAAGACGACTACACTGATCTACAAAGTACGAGGACAGGGAGAGGTTAGGATGCCCGTATCCGTGCACCCTCACCCCTCTAAGAACTACTCCACGGGTGTGATTATTTGCCGGGACCTTCGCGGTGTGAATGATGAGGATGTTGCTAAGGGCTTATGTAAGAAAGGCGTAACGACGGTGAGACGTATTAAGAGGAGAGAGAGAGAGAGAGAGAGAGAGAGAGAGAGAGAGAGAGAGAGAGAGAGAGAGAGAGAGAGAGAGAGAGAGAGAGAGAGAGAGAGAGAGAGAGAGAGAGAGAGAGAGAGAGAGAGAGAGAGAGAGAGAGAGAGAGAGAGAGAGAGAGAGAGAGAGAGAGAGAGAGAGAGAGAGAAAAAAAACAAAATAGATGACCGATACTGATCCGATTATTCTGACGTTTTGCTCTGCGAGAGTGCCGGATAGGGTCCTCGTCGGATATCAGTCGGTCCCTGTTAGGGCCTATGTACCAGACCCAGTCCGGTGCTACCGATGCCAAACGTATGGTCACTTCACTGGCGAGTGCTGAAAAGAAGTTAGATGCGGAAGGTGTGCAGAAATAGGTCAACAACACTCTGAGTGTAAATTAGAAACAGTGAAATGCGTCAACTGTGGTCAGGTCCATGTGGCGTCATAGCGCAGCTGCCAGAGAAAGCTGTCCCGAACATCAAAGTGAGGGAAGGAGTTTCGTTTCGGGAGGCCCAGCGTCGACACAACGATGCGACCACCGCAAGGACATACAAAGACGCCCTTACTAAACCGACAATAAATTTAGCCCAAGAAACACTCGCAGCCAACGAGATACTGAAGCTGAGTGGACTTGATGATTTCGAGGGCATGACTGTAGGCGAGTTTGTACAGCTGATTCTAAGCACACTTGTACCAACTGGCTCCACTACCCCGTCGTCCCAGAAGTCGGATCCTCCGAAAAAGGATCCACCTGCGGCATTGGCCGCTGCTAGAGAAGCTCAGCCTAGGGGATCGGAACCCCCTGGTGGAGCTGCCAGAGAACCCGGGACTGGGGTGCGACCCGGGAACGGGGGATGGACCGCGGTCCAGCGAGGCCGTGGACTTCGCCCTCCATCATCGCACCCCAGCCCAGCCCGTGCTGAAGACACGCCCTCTCGGGCTCCATCTCCCCTCCATCCATTCCAGCTACGACGGGATCTGTCCGCGCTGGTACAGCGGCGCCATGAGAGCTGACCCCCTCTGGCTCCTCAGCTAATGGCCCTGCCGGGAGCGCCGCTCCCCTCACACAATTTTCACTCACCTCTCAGCGTAAGTGTCAGTAATACCGCCCGTTACAAGTTGACAACACACTTATCGCGACGTCGCAGATGTAGATAACGCTCATCGAGTGGGCGCAAAATGGCCGCGGTGCCAACGCGCCCTTAAACACTAAATCACCACCACCACCACATTGCAAGCAGAGCATCGCCTTGGCTGTCGTTTTCCAGCTATTTCTTTTAAAAAATCAACAAATACAACAAAATCTCTGAAATCGGCCGTTGGGTAGGCTTGCTTCAGCTACGGCCTGGCAAAGACATTCTCACCGAGACCGTCTGAGCAAAGCACTAATGAACACACGTGAAGAGTCAGACAGCGTGCATTGAGCGGGTTGGAATAATTTGTCATATTGGCACGGGGTAAATGAGCAAATGAAATAAAATAAGGTATTATTCTGAGAATAATAGACCTGCAACATGCCTGGAGATGCTAGCTAAATGACGAAATCGAGCCATCATTAGAAAAGTCATCGGAGCTACCGAAATCTTTCGGGTGTGGCTACGCCAAAAGGCTTTTGAATCCTTCACTTGGCTGCCGCACATCACTGCCCGCCATCTTGCAGTTAACTTCTCCGGTTGCATACGAGCACGTGAGCGGTGAACGCGACAAATAATTTTTTACTGCTGAAAACTCGAGCGATCGGTGGAAATGTGTGTTTAAGATCCTACGTCATAATCAGGCTAATCTGAATGCTATACTGAGTAGTGGGAAGTACATGTGCCGCATATGGTGCAACATATTTGGCGTCTATTTGCCAAGGGCTTCTGGGCGGTTTTCTAATTCGGCTTGTGTGAACAAAATCGGTGGCTGAGTGTGGTTTACGGATGCGCGCAAATTCGTAAGGAAGTTAAAAGTCTTTGTAATTTGAATGCGTTTTATCCCATTCTAGGTGGAAGGCGAATTAGGAAAAGTGCTGACACTTGTACATGGACGTCACTGGGCGTCCACATAGCTCGACATTGTTTCCACCCATTTTTACACTTTGTGCTAATCCAATGCGACATAACGTGGTGCTATTGTCCGACAATCAGCTCTTGCATAACAGAGGTTTTACGTCACCGCTGGCTTCCGCGCCGGTGACTTCCCCGATAAAAAAGCTTTTCAGCGCGCTGTGTCTATGTTGACGTCATCCAGTTTGTTTGCCCTTACTTAGGATGTGACTTGGAAAGACATGATGTCTTAACTTTATTGCATAGTCTATCAGATTCCATAGATCTTATGTTTCATTCGGTCCTCTTTGATGGTGACGCGGTGGTGGAGAACATGCTGACTGTTCACGCTCTCATGGCTTGCAAGAGACATCATTATAAATACTCAGAGACGAAGGCAAAGGCGAAATAGTGCGCTAGCTTCTTGCTAGATGACATGCACAGCATATGTACTTTTTTATGTCCAGCTTCTCAGAAGACTGAGCGCCGCCATTCGAGATGCCGTCACGCAGTTCACAAACATGCACCAAAAGCGAGCTCTTCGATAACATTTTTGTATTATTCGGCAGCATTTTTGAAGTGACATCATAACGGTCACTTTACACCAGGGGTGTAGCCTTCATTCACTTTCATGAGGGGATGGACTGTGCTCCAGTCGCTCAGCTCTGGGGACACAGTGCGTTAAATCCGGGGAAAGCCAGCCATTTAGCGTGCTATAGGGATAGCTGCAGCCATCCCCCAATGTCCTTGGGGGCCACAAAATTAAATCGCTATTTGGTGTACACTAAGTTAATGACCCGGGCCTCACATCAATTGTTGCTTGCAAAATGATAGATGATATTCTCAACAGCTCATTCAAGTAGCTCTTCTTGTCGGAAGCAGAACAGGAGACGGGATTCAGGAAGACCTTTTGAGTGAGGACAAATCCGCATTAGGGAAGGAGGCAGCGTTTACCCTTTAAAATGGAGCCATATGGAGAAATCTGGACCACATTGGCTGACCCACAAATCTGGGACGGATACCAACTAGATATTTAGTAAGGGATAACTCCTGCCTCGACTATCCCTGCTTCTGATCATGCCACTGGCCTTACAACCACGTAACCTAAGAAATACCCCTTACCTAAAGGCGCGGACCATGGGGGGGGGGGGGTTAATGGACTGAGCCATACCCGAATTGCTAAAAATTTATCGATGGTCCTATAGGCATTGACTGGAAAGAAATACCCGACAGGGCTGTTGCCTTCCCCCAATCTTCCTACAGTATAGGGGGGCTTACATCATTACCGCTAATCTTAGCATCGTTATCGCTGGACCTAGCCTCATTTAGGCCACAAGATAGCTTGTGGTGCCCTAAGGTATCAAGGGTTGTCCCACTTACACGATTTCTGCCCTAAAAAACACAAGGTTTCCCATGCTCCATCGTGCGCTCCAATGCTGCCCAACACATGCTCGCATTGTGCTGCTGCGAGATGGGGGTACGTTTTCTTCGGAGATGCAC